TCTCTCTCTCTCATACGCACACACACATACAAAACACACACACACTCACACACACATACACACACATTACACACACACACACATACACACACACATTACACACACACACACACACACACTCACACACATACTGTCTTCCTTATCTATGAACAGCTCACCTTATGCAGTCGAATTAAGTTTGATTATTTGGGATAAGCCTTTTAATAACTAGCTACATGTACAATTAGGCCACAGGTCATCTTAAGGATAAAAGTCACGGTATATATCCTATGATTACAAGATGTTTTAAAAGACAGAAAGGAGAGGGAGGTGGGGAGGGGGCCGTCAAGAAGACTAGATCTAGAGACAGTATTCCAAACAAACAGATCTGGACCCAACAGGAGTATCATTGCATATATATTATATATATAGTTATAGTTATAGTTATTTTTGGCCTCTGGGGTTGTCTCCTTTAAAGAATTTCTTGTCTCGTGAGCCATAGTTTCCCCCAAACCAAGTGAAGAAACAGTTTATTTCAGCTACAATTTAACATGACATGTACTCACCAGTTTGTCGACTGGTCTATGTGCTGCGCCACGGCATAGCCAAACATGCTGTCTTCTTGACCCTCATGCACCACGGCCGTGTCAAGGTCGACGTTGAAGGCAAAGCTCGAGGGCAGAGACAGGAGAACGACCACGAAAAGCACCAGGTAGGCATGATGCTGGCACCAGGAAGTCTTCCAGTTGCGCGAACCACCTGAGACGTCTCGCGATCCTGGAAGACTCATCGCGTCCTCATATGCAGATTCAACAGCACCCCCCAGGCCTGGTGTTTCCTCTATATTTTTCGTTGCTGAGTGAAAGAAGGCAAATTCAGCACTGCTAGCTGAAGAAGACTCTCGGGTTTCCTTTGAAGGTCTTTGGTTTCTCTCTGTCGAAGTTGGTCGACTCCTGGGTAGTCTCGCACGAGCAGTGAGACGGTGCCCGGAAGATGTGGAGAGACAGTCTACACAAACACAACCTATCTCGCCCCGTGTCTCGAGTGAAATGTCTTCACCCGGACGTTCAGCCATAGCTGAGTCTGGAAAATCCTAATATGCTGCACTAGGAATTCCCCTGAGGTTGTAAGACCTTCTTTATCCGCCTTGTAATCCTTTCTGAGAGAAAAATTCTGCTACTTTATATCCAGCTGATAACCGAACTGAGGACTACTCCGAGATATTATTGCCTTATTCTTTATATACTTATACATGTATAGGCCTATATACAGAGACTGGCATCTGTTGCCTGTAGTCTAAAAGCCTTTACCCACTCCGCATTCAATAGGATACACGCCTACATTATTTGAATTACAGATTACTTTCACAGAACAGAGAACGTTTATTGCAAACTGTGTTTTGTTATTTCTTACAAACCATACAAGAAATTGATTCCTTGAAGAAGATTGTTTAGCCTAGAAACCAAACAAGAAACTGATTCTTTGAAGTATCAGACTGGTATTAACACTTATTAATAAACCAAACATTAACATCTTCTGTTAAATATACTTAAAGAAAGAAACTAATAAGTGGTTGGAAAGTATCTCACATAATCTTCACTCTACGTATTTCTTTTTTAAAAAGTTTAATCTTAAATTATAAGCATCTCTTTTATTCAACAATGATAATATCAGAAGCAAAGAATCCGAACTCAAAGGCAGACCGCCTTTACACTCTTCACATTGAAGTTTCCTAATGAAATATCTCACTCCTCCCACGCCGGCCGCTCTCAGAGGGAGCACATCTACAAGTGGAGCCCCACTCGCAGCTACAGGCACTCACGTACGCACTGAGAAGACACACACATACACACTCACACACACACACACACATAAGCAACAGGCACCGCTAGAAAATGTTCCGTGCGGGAGTACACAGAACACGAGAGAGTGCAGGGCTACGCTCACCGCGGCCCAAAGCGCACGCACACACTTACTGAGAATAGAAGACGGCCAGAAATAAAACACCGAAAAACTTGGGCGATTCCTGACTGCTTGCGGGGCCCCTCGTTCGCGTTTCTTTCTGCCCCCTCTCTCGCGGGACGTTTTCAGTGATGACTAGCTGGAACTGCCTTTCGACCTGCCCACCCCTCCTAACAAAATGAGCAACGTGCGCTTCAGGATTTACAGTATTTACAGTCACAGCGGTTCGTCATCGGCCCACTTTGTAGCTGCTGGCCGGTCCCATTTTTATCAGGAGAGAGGGGGAGGGCTCTTCCGTTACTACGTTTTGTACCAGACCAGTAGGCGTAAAACACAACGGAGGGCTGGTCCCGCTATTTCTACCACGGCCCTCTCGCGTCATCGTCAGCACGGCGGGACTAATTTCCTTTATCTCGATAAACTTTGGCGATAATGAAAAACTTGGTAAGATTCCTTTCATTACATCCGGATTAGCGCGTTACCGCGAAGTTTTAAGACGGGAGTGCTTGGTTGTGATCTTCTCGCAAAAAAAACCCCACAAACAAATGAATAAATAAAACATTGACGTTTGTGTTCAAGTTTGCTGATGAAAACTGTTCATCATCATCATCACCGCGGACAACATCATTATCATCATTAGCTTTATCAACATTATCACCACCATAGACATTGTAATCGTCTTATTTTTCGTCTTTTCCGCGTGCGTCTCTCGTTCATTCTCAAGGGAAAGAGAGAGAGAGAGAGAGAGAGA